ATCGCACGCCCACGTCGGACAGAGACACTGAGCGAAAGAGCGAGCGAGAGCCAGAGAGATGAAGAGCGCGAGAGTGTGAGAGCGTATGGCGACGCAATAAGCGGGCGCTGCTGTCATAGACACACACACACACACGTACACAGCACGTATACATTGTATGTATGTGTATGTGTGTGTGTGTGTGTGTACACGGGACAAGTTGGCATGGCCATTATTGTTGTTGCTCTTGTATTTGCACAAATTGTCCGTTACGCTGTCGCTTGTTTGGGCACACAGAAACACACACGCACACATACTGTCACACATTCTCTAATTAAACTGCACATCACTGTTGCTGCTGCTGCTGCTGCTGTTGTTGCTGATGCTATTGCGGTTTTTGCCATTCTTTGCTTTCTTGTAAAAATAGCAACAAGAGCACGCCATATGCTTGAGTCCAACATTTTCTGCTGCACACTTCTGGGCTGACTGTTTAATTATTTTTATCATTTAGCACATGCACACCTACGCAGCACTCACACACACTCGCACACACGCACACATACTCACACAAACACTTATCTACGTGAAGTTCAGTGTCAAATTTTCATTTCGCTTTCGCTTTTAAATAACAAAAAAACTTTTTAACTGTCGCTGCGAAAGCTCTTTCGGCCACAATCGTTCGTCGCATTAATGTTATTCATTATTTACTGAGTCCATAAATGTTTCGCTTAATATTTAATGTGCGAATTCGTCGATTTTAAAATATATATATACATATTTATATATACGCACATCTAACGTTAAATAAGCTTTTACAAATTTTCTTTTCAAACACTTCTCTTCTATCGCTTGGTGAATTCTTTTGGGGCGCTGCTTATTAAATTTTTTGGTGGCTGCTCGCGTTGACCGTCAGTCGAAGGACTGCCTGTCCTACTGAAATTACCGTTCGTTTGCAGCGCTGCTTGTGGCTCGGCGCTGCCGCTTCGGAGTTTCATACACGCACACACACACACACTCATACGACATATAACAAAAGCAGTTTGTTGCCTACAAATTCCTACGCACATCTGCTTGTGTGCCAGTGTGTGTGTGTGTGTGGTTAGCTCTCCTCTTGGTGTGTGCTGTAGGTTAGGCACACGCGCCATCAAGCAAAAGCTCGACGCGAGCTTTTAAGCCCACTGCCTTTTACTTTTTATTACGCCACTTTGAAGTTTAAATGTCAATTGTCAAACAGTGCTGGCAAAAATAATAGGCATAGTGAATAGGCATAGGTGAAACAAGATTTTGAGGGAATTCAAGCAGCTGTCCTCATATATTGTAAGATAGTGTTATTCCTGGTAAATCTTTTAATGACTAACTTCTGAGCAGTTTCCATATGCCTTTGGCTGCGCTACTCCACCGTCAGCTAACCACCCGCTGCCGCTTGACGTAGGTTGACAGCTGTTTGCTTTGGCTGTCACTTAACTGTTATTGATTTTGCTGCGAAGCTTGCGGAGCGCAACAGTTTGAAAGGCGCAGCTTTCACTTTCGTGCGCAACGTCGCGACGCGTCGCAACGCTGCTCAACTGCGCCTGTCCAATCGCCAGCTCTGCTGCATCTGTGTTAGTGTGTCAGCGCAACGCGTGCGCGAGCCAAAAGCTTCGCCAACAGCCTGTTGCCGAAGCCAAAAACAAAACACAAATGCGAAGAACAAAAGGAAGAAATAATGTGTGTAACAGCGAGCTTCCAAGCAGAGGCGCCACTGCGCTGGAAGGCAGAGGCCCAGACAATGACCGTGTGCCTCTTCACATGCCAACGCGTCGCTCTGCGCTCTGCCGCCGCCTCGTTGCTCCACTCTGCGCTGCTCTTCTTTGCCGTGCCGTGCTAATCCCTATGCGTACCCGCCACTTGGCATAGCTGCGTGTAGCGTATTAATTTTAGCACCCGATAAAACCCAACTGCATACTTAATGCCATTTTAATGAGTTTCCCGTCGCTTTGTTCGTTTCCGGTTTTTGGCCCCTTCAGAAGGGGGGATCAATGCTCAATGTCTAAGCTGCTCAGCTAAGTGTTGGCTTTTTGGCTTTGACTTACGCCATTTGCTTTTTAACAGACGCAACAGGCTGTTGTTTTTGTTGCTGCTCTTGTCACAAAATCAAGCGGTACAAAAAGTGCTGCCTGCTTTTAGGGAGGCGCATTAAATGCGAACATTTTGCAGGATATCTTAAAGTGGTGGAACCAAAACCATTAAAAGCTTTGTAATGTCATCTAATGCATATAAATAAAATTGATAAGCGATTGGAATTTAAGAAATAATGACAAATCTTTTGTTTAATTTATAAAGAGAATTTGATCTAAATCGGAATGAAATTATAGGCCAAACTGTGAGGCTGCATTTGATTTCAACTGTAAACTAATAAAATTGAGACCAAGTTCATTTCATAGATGCCAATCTAAGTCCAGCTTATCGACTTAGAAAGTTATATAATATTTCAAGCATTAGCCAAGCTTTATATTGATATTATTTTTATAGATTTGTATATTTTAAAAATTATTATCATACTGTTCGACCATCAAAACACTCAATATTTTATTTTTTACATTTTATGTAAATCTTTATTTTATTCATTGTGTAAATTTTGTTGGTTTTAGTTAATAAATTTTCGTATTTTCCACCATCTAATATTTTGTTTGTTTTTATTTTGTATCTTTTGTTTTTCTTGTAAGCATATTTTCTCAATTTGTTGCACGCGTCTAGCTATAGATAGTTTTGATAATATTTTCCACATGTTTCGCATAAGTATAATTGAATCAAGTCATTTGTTTTCATAAGACGAACAATTTCCCTCTTTTTTACGAGGTATATATGTATATACATATATATATCTATATAGTGTTATGTATGCTGTGCCAGAAAAAGTCAAATTTCTACATCGTTTAATATGAGTTTTTTAGATTTTTTTTTTGGAATTTTTCGTTGCTTTATTTATGTTTGTTTATTAACTAACAAGTTGTTTTCGTTTTTTGCTTACGTTTATAGATAATTTCGAGCTTAGCCTTTTTTTCTTGTGAGTGTATGTGTATGTATGTTTGTGTTGATGTGTGTGTGATGCCAAATTAAATATATGTATATGCTTTAATGTTTAATGTAAATTAAGTCTACTTAAAATTTGGTTAAACGCTAATTTACACAGAAAAAAAAATACACAACTAAATTTATTAGAACTAATTAGAGCTTGAGTTTAATTAGCGCTAAGCTTAAATTTAAACGTGATGTTTAGTGTGTTGGTGTGTGTGTGTGTATGTGTGATTTGTAGAATTATCATTTGTACAAAGCGTTTTATCTTTTTTGTTTAAATAAATTGTGACGGAGTTGTTTAGTAACTGTGCGAGTTTTATGCTTGTTTCAGCTGACTTATCTATATAGCACATATAACGGTTTATAGTCTATATATGATCGGCCAGCGCTGACAACATTTATAAGGCAAGTTCAATAGGCGGCAATTTGTGGTTGACGGTTGTTGCACGTTTTTTCTTGTTTTGTTTAATTGGTTAAGCTAAAAAAAATTTTTCGTATTTTTGATTAGTTTTCATTTTTGTTTTGTTTTTTTTTTTTTTACAGTCTAAGTAAAAGGCACTGATTTGTAATTAATTATGTATATACGGCTGTATGTGAGATTGGTGCTTGTGTGTGTGCGAGGTGCAACGAGTTCAAACACAACAACCGTCATAGTGTGCGTGTTAGTATGTGTATGTGTATGTGTGTGCTTGCAATGAAATATACAAAATAATAATACATTATGTAATTACTAAAAATGTAATTAAAATACGCGTGTTTTTTGTTGTGTTTTAACTCTTTTTGTTTATATCAATTGTAATTATTATAAATTGTTGTTGTTGTTGTTCTACATGTAATTTACATACATTTATTTGCTAATACATAAAAAATGTGCATATGAGAGTGTGTGAATTATCTTTTTCATTATTTTTAAGCGCAATTTATGCTGTTTTAGTTTTAGATTTCAATTTCATTTTTGATTTTATTTTCTAACTTTTAATAATTATTAAATTCTGCGTTTTTGCTGCTTCTTTTTATTGCTTATTTTTAACTATGAGTATGAGATGAGTTTTGAAAGCAGATTTTGCAATGAGTTTTGTTTATTTTAAGTGTGTATGTGTGTGTGTGAGGGTATGGGTGTGTGTGTGTGTGTGTATGAATGTGCTTGGTTTGTATTTTGGTTCAATAATTTAATATAATTTAAATATTTGTTGTATTTAGTTTATCTGTCGTTGTGTCGTTGCTTCTTCTTGTTCACTTATGTTTTACTAAATAAAGCATTCATTAGTTAATAATTTATAGTTATATAGTTTATGTGTTGTATTGTATTTAAATTCTAGTATATAGTTATATTTAGCAAAAAGCAGTTACAAATAATAGTTGCAAATTGTTTTAATTTATACATACATGAATCAAGACAAGTTTAGGGGCGCGCCTAAATTATTTATATATATTTCGTTAAATATATATGTTTATATATTACTATATATATAGAGTATATGGTAGCATAGCTTATAGCAAAAATCATAATACCTTAGCTAGAGCTAGTTTTCTATCTTGTATTCTTTTTCTTTTCATATAGCATTATAAACATAACTAATGCTTGCAGAAAAAAATTCTATAATATTAAACAATTTGGACACAAAAAAAATGAAAGAAAGTAGAGAATAAACAATAATGAATTACATTTTTTTTTTTTGTGTTACTGTTATTAAAGACAAAGAGAAACTAAACATACAATATGCATATATATAAGTATATATATGTATCATAATGGTTATACAGTATGGGTTGTATATAATATTTAACATGTATGCAGATATACATATATATATCGAGTATATATATATAATAATTATCATTATAACATAAACGTTTCTTGAGTTTATCGAAAGTATTTCTTTAATGCGCTGCTCTAAAATTTTGTTCGCTTTTGTTATTTATTTATTTAT